AAACATATATATATATATATATATATATATATATATATATATATATATTTTTTTTTTCGACTATTATTTTTATGATTATACAGTGTATTTTTCCTTTAAAAAGAGGGTACATAAACTTCCATTCCAAATCCCAAACATACAAAGAAAAGCTAAAATATTCTAACAAGACTTTTTCCCAACTGCTCGAGAGAAAGGAAGAAGTTGTCAACGTTAAGAAACAAATTGAACATTTTTGGGGGCTAAAATTGCAAATTTTCAAAGTCTCTCGAAATTTGTATAATGTAATCAATGACGCAATCATTTGATGGTTCTCATATTATTCAACAAAAAACAAGAAGATGGAAGAGTTAGAACTATTAGTTTAATAAAGTTTGTTTTTTCTATTTTCTGGTTTTTATAATCCTTCTTCACGGACAGACATGTCTCAAGAAAGGGTTATTTTTCCAATATTTTGACTTATGGTAAAAGCAATGCAATTTATACTAAACAAAATATTAACAGCCGTGATTATTAAAAATAATTGTGTCAAATTATTTGTCATTTTAAAAGTTTAAGAGAAAATTAATTATTTTTTCCTTTATTACTCTTAGTAATAATTATTCTTGAATATAGAGATAATACATAAATAGAATAAATATTCAATAAAGAGAGATTATATCTTAAGACATAAATAAAAATAGAATAGTCAAATCCCTTTTTTAATTAATATTTTTTAATATGCGTGTAAAAGAGAAACACGACACGAGACAAAGGGAGTATTATATACTAAAAACAAAACGTGGAACACTAAGAGAACAATAATAACTATTTAATTCAACTAATGGAAATTGAACTGCCCAAACAAAGATAGATTTTTGAGAAAACAAATATTAATCAAGTAGAAAAAGATGGAATAAAGTCTGCAATGGAAAGTTCTGAGGAGAAGAGAAATGTGAATAGGTTGACCCTGTAAAATTATGGACTAAATGAGATGTATCACTTTTTAAATTTGGACACAGCTGGATTAAATAAACTTAATTATTCATATGCTTTCTCCAGATCTAAAGTCTCTATTATCTCATTCCATATACTTTATTCTTTTTAACTCACTTCAAAATTCGTCTGGAGTTCCAGCAAGTATACCGGTCCAGCATAATATACTGGAGTTCATACACAGGTGCATCAAACTCCAGTATATTATGCTGGACCGGTCTCTGTTGTAGTAAAATAGTGACTATTTTTCTTTGACTTGGTAAACGCTGCCTATTTTTGAATGACCAGTCCGAAAACTGGCTATACCGTGCTATTTTTACCTAAAAAATTGCTTGTACACTAAACTACTTATATATGACTTCTAGTAAGAGACTGACTTCAATTCATTATCATTAGTTGAACATGAAACTAAGAAAGATGTGCTTATACTTAATTCTTTCTAATGTATTCCAAGACTCATTTAAAACGCCATGTAACATCATCTTTAACCAAACTCCAGGGTAGTTAGTTTTTAAGTAAACCGCTAAGAATTGTTTATACAGTAAATTACTTATATATGTCTACTAAAAAATTGATTTTCGTTCATTATCATTAGTCCAACATGAAATTAAGAAAGATGTACTTGAGTTGGCATTTCATAGTTATTGTAGGAATCTGATCTCACAATCTTTCACGTTGACTTATTTTGTGGACAAACTGGTTAAAAGGAAAATAATTTTCTACTTCGTATCGGCTGAGGCTAGTCTGATAAGGTTTTGTCTTAGATTGCTAGTGGTTAATGTTGTGTTTACACTATTCTTTCGTTTTTTATAGTACCGGGCGTTATTTATGGGCTATTGTTATTGTTTTTCATCTATTTTCTACTTCTTATGATGTTGTTATTATTTTTATGGTTTCTGTTGATGGTACTGATATATTGTCTGTTTTCGTCTTCTTGAGTGGAGGGTCTATCAAAAACATCTCTGCTCCCTCGGGGTAGGCGTAAGGTCTGCGTACACGCTACTCTTCCCAGACCCCAATTGTGAGATTTTACTGGGTTGTTGTTGTTGTACCCGACAAGTAGCCCTGACAATATACATGTGTTTTTATGTGAAGAACATCATAAATAATGGGAAACAATGACTCATTCTTGACAAAGGTTGGCTTAGGTTGCAGCAAAAGTACAAGAGAAAGAGCAGTCTGCATTTTTCTTGCAACTCAATTTGAGTCAAAGGAAACATCATCTGAAACACCAAAAAGTTCTTTTGTTTATACTGTTTCTTGACCACTCAATGACTTAGTATATGTCTGCAGGATAAAATTAGTCTATACAATTTCCAGTCTGCAAATGAAACTGTATTCCAAGACATAAATATTACATATTGATATACCATCCTAAATGGCATTATCACGTATATATTTGCGCAACGAAACTTTATAATGCTTATACATAAACAAAGATTAGAAGAAATGAAACCTTCCTCAGCCCACACCAACCAAACAGAAGAAAAAGAAAAGACTAGAGAAGCGTAAAAGAACGTCTCTGGATTATGTCGATTAACCTACCTATAGCAAATCCAACAATTACTACACTAAAATGGTTAGACATATATTAACCTTCGCTCGCTCAGAACAAATCCTAACAACAGTACTTTGTTAACATTCTGTGCATCATCTTCTTTACATTTCATCATAATCAGTGGAAGTGCAATGCGTGCGAGATATCTTCTTACCTCATACTCCTCAAAAGCCAAAAGGATTGACTGTCATCTTTTACTGTCTCCTCCTCTCCTCTAATATGACATCCAATCAAAGGTGCACCTCCACACGTTGTCAGCGGCCATGAACTTTAGGAATTTGATGTGAACAAGCTTTAACATGTGGCAGATCTGTTTCCCGAAAGTTTGCTTTCTTGAATTGATGTTTAAATCTCCTTGGGATGATATGTTTGCTTTCCGCTATGTGAACCGCCTCCTTGTGAATCGGAGCTTTCTGCTTGTGAGACAAGATAGTCAAGTGCGACAACAATATCACTGATGATTGGGCGAAAATTGGCTTGCTCTTGAATACACATTGCAGTAATTGCAACTGCATGGTGCAAAGAGCGAACAGAGAACTGACCATACAACAAAGGGTCAACCATATGAACAAACTTCCTCCGGTCCTTTAGGAAGGGACGAGACTGCAACCAACCGAAGAATTTCTCAGATCAAGTATCCTAGTTGGAGCACGTAAAAATGAAAACACACTCATATTTGCTTCCAGTATACATGATAAAAGTTTTTAGGGGAGGGTTGTGGGCAAGCTCAAAAAGAATGAGATCCAATATGTAACCTATCTTAAAAATTGTCAACAAACATTTCGAGTAAGATCTAAAGTTTCATCAACATGTTATCATTTCAGTGGAAATGATGGCGAAATTCTTTAAGCAGATATAACCCAAAACTGCCTACTTTGCTTAAATTCTTATGAGATTACCCCAAACTCCAAGTAGACTTGAATTCAGACTGGAATCAGGTTGTGTTCCAATCTCTACTGAGAAGCTCACCATGTAAATTTTTGGAAGATAAGTAACCAAATTGATTTGTAAAATGTGCAACTGCTTAGTTCAAGTACATGAAATTAGTTGATGAATAAAAATAAGCAGGCACATTAGATAATATAAACTCACCCAAACGACAAGGTTCTGTTCTCCTGTCTTTCTAGAGCTATCATAAGCTTTTCGGCCTGTTATTAGCTCCAACAGCACAACACCTAAGCTATAGATGTCTGATTTCAGAGTCAATTTTCCACTCATGGCATACTCGGGCGCACAGTATCCATAGGTTCCCATCACTCGCGTCGAAACATGAGTGTTTTCACCAACAGGTCCCAACTTTGCAAGTCCAAAATCTGACAGTTTTGGATTGAAATCATTGTCCAACAATATGTTTGAAGATTTCAAATCACGGTAAATGACAGGCGGATTTGCTTCACAATGAAGATACTCAAGTCCATGAGCTGCACCAGCAGCAATCTTAAGTCTTGTGCTCCAACTCAGTGGCTTCTTTCCGGGTTCCAAATCTACAATATCGATAGTAACATACTGTTCAGAGTGCAGCACCGTTAAGCAAGATAACGTAATACTTGGTTACAAGGAAATTAGTAGTATATAACATTTATCTGTTACTCATAACAGCATACTAATACAAGCACACAGATACAACATGAGCTTGTTTGGTAGTTTCAGCTACAGCTACCAATGAAAACAATCCAGAAGCTATAGGCAAAGTAATCCGAATTTCACAATTGACATCTTCTGAGAGCAAAAGCTAATGTCTTGTAAGATAACCTTAGAAGTACTAGGATTAAGTTGAAAATATGACATTCTTTTTAAAATGTCATTTGCCATGAGGATCAAGAAGGGGAGCCATGGTGTAACTGGTAAAGTTGTTGTCATGTGACCAAGAGGTCATGGGTTGAAGCCTATGGAAACAACCTCTTGCAGAAATGCAAGGTAAGGCGGCGTACAATAGACCCTTGTGGTCCGCCCCTTCCGCGGACCCCGCACATAGCGGGAGCTTAGTGCACTGGGCTGCCCTTATTTCCCATGAGGATCAAGATTTGTGATTCAACACCTTTGATGTAAACAACTTGGCTCACATAACTCAGGTAAATAAAGCAGAATACTAAACATTTCAAAAGATAATATTTGTGGAAAGAAATTAAATTACCAAAAAGATGATTCTCCAGGCTACCCATTGGCATGAACTCATAAACCAAGAGCCTCTGGTCTCCATCAGTGCAGTATCCAATTAAGTTGACAAGATTTTTGTGATGTAGTAAACTCAACATCAGGACCTCCACTATAAACTCCTGGTTTCCTTGTAGCCCGTCAAGATTAAGTTGTTTGATTGCAACAATCTGTTCACAAGATCAAAACAACAAGAACAATTGGCGGTCATCTTCTACCGGAGAAGATAGTCAAAAGATAAGGACATAGTATTCAAATTTCTATCTATGTAAAACATGTTCCTCCCTTATTTTCTTTCAGATAACACAGAGAGATAATAAACGCTTTCAAACAAATAGAAAGTTAGCAACACATATGAAGATCAAAAGCCAATGTGTTTGCGAAAGTAGAAAACTTGCCAAGCCTGATTCTAGACGGCCCTTGTACACACTTCCAAAACCGCCTTCGCCAATAAGATTAGTTTCCCTGAAATTCTGAGTTGCTAATGCAAGTTCTTTGAACGTGAAACTGCGCGCCACATTGCCCTTCTGGTTATTGCTTTCCCCACCTTTCCCTCTTAAAGAACCTCCTTTTCTACCTTTCCCTAAACATCAACAAAACTCACAATTCAACAAAACTAAAAAAGAACCACATGATCAAATTCCACAACTCCCAAATGCAACTCTAATATTAACAACATAAACTGAAAATAACCCTTATCCACTGCAAACATAAAAAAATGACAGATTTTTAACATATACAAACCACATTGTGTGATAGCAACAAAATACAGAAATAATATTACAACAGTAATTCCCACATTGTATAACAAAAAAGGAAAATAAGCAGCAAAAACCTGAAGATTTAATGGATCTTGAAGCCATGTCATCATCATAATCTCTGACATCTTTACGATTAAAACTCATGCAAGAAAAGCAAACCATTCTTTTCTTCATAGGCTTTTTGGGCCAATTACTCACACAAAAAATGCAGATTTTTTAAAAGAAACAAAACCCCACCTCAAATTTCAGCTACAATGAACATAACAGTTAAAGAAAAACACAAATTGTAATTGAAAAAAGAGAAGATTTTGGAGCTCAGAAGAGAGAGGAACAAAGAGGGTTAATTCCTTCTTGTCTAGAAAAGTCGAAACCTAACACTAAGAAAGAAAAAAAAAAAAGATGAAAAAAATTAGAAAAAGATTGAAGCTTTCACATTCATAGATCTGCAAATACAATAAAGACAACCAAACAAATATAAATAAAGTAAGAAAAATGGGACAAAAATATTATTAACAATTACATTGAACCAAAAATGGGTCCTAAATATTTGGTAGTATCTTCTATACCCATATGAACAAAAGAAGTAAAAAGTAAGTCCAAAATACCAAAAAAGATCCCAAATTTTTATTAATTATAATAATTTGCCAAAATTAAACCAAGCTTAAAACTAACATTGAACCAAAAATCGGTCATAAACATCTGTCATTTTCTAGAACTATATGAATAAATAAAGTAAAATATCATAAAAATCTCAAGAAATTCCTAAATTCGGCAAAAAAATTCCAGCTCCTCATTCAGCGCCAGCTTTAGCGGTGACCATTTTTCACCACCCACCCACGAAAAAAAACACATCAAAAAGAAATAATCTTTTTTTAATGTGGGCCTTTTTGGATATGAATTGAATTTGAAGGGGGGAAATTTTTAAAAGTAAAAGATGGGGAAGTGGGCATTAAAGCTCACTCTTTGATTATAGTTGCAGGTCGCTCTCAATGGCTAACTTGCATTTAAACGTTTGGGTGAGGGAAGGACGTGAAATGACTCATTTGACCTTCTCGTTTGGTCCATTTTATCCCCAGTTACCGACAACAGTTGCGACAAACTGATTTGTTTCGGACTTTTTTCGATTTAACAGATGAATATATTTTGTTTATTGATACAGGGGTACTACTACTACTAATAATAATATATACAGAGGCGGACCCAGGATTTGAAAGATGGATCCAGATATAGGATCGAAACAATAAAGAAACGGGAGGGTTTCTGAGTGTTTCAAACGGGGCTAAGATTGGGCATTGGGCAGATCTTAGTGGATCCAGAGATGGATCAAATATCTTGAGAGAGATATAGGGTCAAAATAAGAAAGAAACGGGAGGGTTTCTGAGTGTTTCAAACGGGGGCTAAGATTGGGCATTGGGCAGATCTTAGTGTGGCATAAGAGCGACTTGTCTTCTTTGCCAAAGTGGGGATGTGATCGGATTGTGATCATAGTCAGATTCCTTTTATTATATTGTAAATAATATAAAGGTTGGGATTTTCCCGTATTTGATTGTCTCTTTGCAATTGTTGTCAAAGTCGTCTAAGTAAAAGCTTGCTNAAAAAAAAAAAATTTCTTCGCAAAATGGGTGTTATGGGAAGAGAAGGAATAAAATTAATTAAGTTGACTATTGTATATTAGTACTAACTATAAATAAAATTAAAAAAGTAATTTGTTACTAAATATAAATTATATTGTATCCAAAAAACTAAAATATTAATAAAGTTGACTATTATATATTAGTACTAATTTATAATTGAATTCAAAAAAAAAAAAGATAAAAGTAAAAGATAAAGCAATTTGCTATTGAATATAAATTACATTGTACTCACAGAATAAAAATAAAAAGGAGGAGAAAAAAGTTGAGGGGGTGTTTCGAACCTATGTCCCCAAAAAGTTGGGAATTTAAGGGCCCAAAGCAACCACTTCTTCCATCCATTTCTTTGTTTTAGGGAGCACATTTAAAATATTTAAGGGGTTTCATATATATGTACAGGTACAACAACAACAACAACAACAACAACCCAGTATAATCTCACAGGTAGGGTATGAGGAGGGTAATATGTACGCAGACCTTACCCCTACCCCGAAGGATAGAGAGGTTGTTTCCAAGAGACCCTCGGCTCAAAAAAGCAACAGGATATATATTATATATATATACATAATTTTTGCTGAGGCTAACGGAATCACGTGACCCCTAAACTCACCACGTAGATCCGCCCCTGAATATATAATACTATGGCACCTAGAGGTGTAATATAGTCGTCAATGTAGTAATAGTGGAGTACGCTGAGGTCTTAGATTTAAGTTTTATGGAAGATTAAAATATTATTTTCATCCGTTTAAGTCATAATAGGCAGAGTTACTCGATATGTATAATTAATCAAAGGTAAATACAAGATAATTAAATGTTATAAGAAAACAAAATAAGAATGCTCGAGAAACGCGTTAGCGCCGTTATAGATTCTGCAGGGAATTTTGGTCCTAACATTTAGGTGGGACCATTCTTAATAGTTAATTCAATTAAGATATTGCCTTTAATAATTGGTAGAGATCTTGTGATATGTTGGACTTACGAGAGGGGTTGCTCTGATGGTAAGCAATCCCACTTCCAATCGAGAGGCTGTGAGTTCGAGTTTCCCCAAGAGCAAGGTGGGAAGTTCTTGGAGAGAAGGATGTCGGGGGTCTATTTGGAAACAGTCTCTCTATCCTAGGGTAGGGGTAAGGTATGCGTACACACTACCCTCCCCAGACCCCACTAAGTGGGATTATACTGGATTGTTGTTGTTGTTGTTGTTGTTCGATTGGGGCAAAGTATTTATCAACAATAAATTAAAAATGATAAGTTAAAAAAAAAATATTTGCAAAATGATTTTGAAAAATCTTTCTTTTAACGAAAAATCGAGTTTGAAAAAATATATTAACAGAGTAGAAAATGAACCGAGTCAGAAAAAGTTGGTTGTGCCATGTCTTAGCAATGTAGCATGGAACATCATAGGTAACGTTACAAATATAATTCTTTAATAGAAAAATATGTTGATTACATAATTAAATAAATAAAATATATTCTCTATAACAATTAAATTTTTAAATGTGGATCACACTATTATACAAAGTTTTTGAATATATATAGCTCTTCAGTTCGAATCTTTCCATTAATGGAATAAAAATGACACACTTTTTTGTTCCACTTTAAATGAGATTTATAAGAAAATCATTACCTTTTTCACTTGAAGTGGAGTTTCATTGTGCCATACTACCATAACTATGGAAGATATGGCATAACACTAAGTAGCTATTTTTTAGGGTTGTTATTTAAAAATAGTCCTAAAGTTAATAATTTTATGATAAAATAAGTATCGGCTAATCTCTAAATAGTTGTCCTAAAAATGGCTATTTGTGTACTTCCCCTAGATATGGGCCCCTATCGATTCAACAAAATTTTATCATCAAATCGAAGAACAATTACCAAAATATGGGGAGGCCATATATTTGTTGAGTGCTAAAAAAGGAATTTTTACATTTCTATATCATATAGTAAACTATATTACCCTTCATTCTTAACTTTTAATATAATTACCTTTTTCTATATACCTAATTATCATTTATGTACCATTTTAGGATTTTAATGGTATTAATTAGTCTGCTAATTTTACTCAACAGTATATTCTTACTCCCCCAAGTTTGTCTCTCCAAATCCCCATGATTTTCTCTTCAATCATCCATAATTTCCTCTTCTAAAACCAGCGAAAATCTGTAACCCCTCCACCTTTGACAACCATTAAAAAGCTTTGAAACTTTGAATTCGAATTTGGGTTTTCAAAAGACATTGTTTGTTTGGATTTGATGTTGTTGCAAAGAATTGAGAATTCTCTCCATGTCTCTCCCTATCTCTCAATCCCAAATTTCAGTAATATAAGAGGAAAGGAAAATAGAGCAGCAATTCCACCATTGACAGTCATTAAAAAGCTTTGAAGCTTTGAATTCGAATTTGGGTTTTCAAAAATCATTATTTGTTTGGATTGGGTGTTGTTGAAAATAATTTAAAATATGGTTTGGAATTTATATCTCAATTTTGAGGGGTTTTGGTGAAGATTAGACTTTGTATTGACTGAATTTCAGATTGAAACTCGAAGAACTCGAAGAACTCGAAGAACACGAAGAAGAAGAAGAAGAAGAAGAAGAAGAAGAAGAAGAAGAAGAAGAAGAAGAAGAAGAAGAAGAAGAAGAAGAAGAAGACATGACATACATTATATTGCAAAAATTGTAGAAAAAATGTATTCTGTTATTTATTTATTTTTGAGCTTTGTGCTTTTGTGTTAAAAGTTTTGATGGGAGCTTGTTATTTCACTTCGCCTGTTTTGGAGTTAACTTGTGCAGAGGAGAAGATGTTTTTTAAGTTATATATATTGCCATACCTTTAAATTCAAGAAAATATGGTTGTATTGTATTTAAAGAGGCATGAATTTGTAGAATAAGTTGAATGTGAGGAATGAGTCAAATAAGACTCACAGTGGCTTGTTTTCGGGGATACAGAATTGAGGAATTGAAATTAGGTTGTGCTTCATCTATTGATCAAGTTGCTATAGTCAGAAGCCAGACACATGACCATTTATTTAGTTGCTTGATGATTGTAAAGTAAAGTGAGGCACATGACCAATTTTCTAGTTGTTTGTGGATTTGTAAAATTACGTGAGTTAACTGCGGATGCACAAAATATTTTCTTGACTTTGCAGAAATGAGCATGAGGTGCGGATGCACAATTTACCTATGCCAACATTTAACTATGGTGTATATCAGTATGGATTTTTACAATACCTACAAAATTTCTACATTTTACAATAAAACTACATATTATTTGAAAAATTAACATGAAAATACAGAATTTCAATGTTTCTACAAATTATCTACAAAATTTTTACAAACTATTCATAACAGAATTTATTTTTATTTTCATGCATGTTCGTCTAGAACACTAAAGTTACTTGATATGCCAACATCTCCCATAATAGGGGAATACAACTTATCTACAATATTTTTTACAACTTTCACACATTATTTTTATCCAGTTAAATACAACTACAATAACATAAAACTTACATACAAATTTTATACAAAATTTATACAATATGTCTTTTGTATATTTTGTATCTGATTTATACATAGTAAAAACAAATTTCATACAACTAATTATATATTATACAATTTATCTACAATTTTCGTATATTATTTCTACTAAGTTATATACAACTACAATATAATACCACTTAAATACAATTTTTATACAATGTTGTTCAACTTTCATACAATAGGTAAATGAATAAAAGAAAAATAAATAAACAACAGTCTACAATTTTTCTACAATTTCTGCAATATAATGTATGTCATGTCTTCTTCTTCGAGTTTCAATTTGAAATTCAGCCAAAACCAAGTTTAATCTTCACCAAAACCCCTCAAAATTGAAATATAAACTCCAAACCATATTCTCAATTATTTTCAACAACACTCAATCCAAACAAATAATGATTTTTGAAAACCCAAATTTGAATTCAAAGCTTCAAAGCTTTTAAATGGCTGTCAATGGTGGAATTACTGCTCTCTTTTCCTTTGCTTTGTATTACTGAAATTTGGGATTGAGAGATAGAGAGAGACGTAGAGAAAATTCTCAATTCTTTGTAACAACATCCAATCCAAACAAACAAATGTCTTTTGAAAACCCAAATTCGAATTCAAATTTCAAATCTTTTTAATGACTGTCAATGGTGCAGATTTTCGCTGGTTTAAAAGAGGAAATTGTGGGGTGTGGTTTAATATGTGAGTGAGATAGTTGTAAAATATCTGAAAGAATATTTAATTCCCCGATATTAGCGCCCCTAAATAAGGAAGCCTACAGCTACAATGATTCCTTGTTTAATAAATTGTCTATATTTTGTAGAAATA